AGCAGACATATTCCCATATGTTTTTCAAATAAATCATCTGATCGAGCAATAATAATAACCTATTATGAACAGGAGGAAATGTACCCGATCCAAAGTGAATCCCACACGTGGTGTGATCAATTAAAACTAAAATTATTTATATTAATCTTAATTGTGATGGATATAATCCCTCACTGATTTTAATTAATGTGTAATATTAACGGTTTCTCCTATTCCCATTTTGCGCATTAAAGTCCCTAATTCGTGATTATGTGCATTTTTTTAATATATATTTTTTTATCTTTTGATTGTGAATTATAAAAGCTATCTTTTTTTTTTTAATCATCTGATATAAAATTTTTACTTAAATTTTATTTTATAAAAATTATTTTTTTTAAAAATTATTTTCACTTAAAAGATGACATCAAATAATTCATATAATCCACTTGATGATACCGTTAGTATACTTATGAGTGGATTACAACCAGTATTTGTATTTGGCTTATTTAAAGGTTTTGAAGAACAAAAAGGAATAAAATTTTCTCTTATAAATATATTTGATGATTTTATCATATTTTCATCAATTACGTTATACTCCTTTTTTACTAGAGTTTAATAGTATGCATACCATACTGAGAATAAAAAAAAATCAATCTTAGCATTATGGATTATTGGTACAATTTATCTAATTGCTTTTTATATTTATTTAATAAATGAATATTTATTAACATCTTATATATATTGTGTTAATATAATTAATATACTATTTAAATTTATATTAAAAAAACTATTTAAATTGAATATTAAAAAATTAGATAAAATAAGAAAAAAAGAGTTATTCAGAAAATTTATGATTTATTTTAGCCTCTTTATTTTACCTCTTTTATCATTTATAGAATACTACACACTTCTTGTTAGCAGTGACCAGCCTATTAGTAAAATTTGTATTGATAATTTTGGGCTTAACAAATGTGTAATTTTAAAAATGTCAACTATTTGCATATATGGAACATGTGCAGGATTAAATTTTTCATATAGTATCTTTACATACTCTATACTCATGATAGAATATGAATATTCTATTCGTGAGAAGTATTATATTATTAATTACCTTCTAATTAGTATTAATTATATTATTATTATTATACTAATTGTTTATCCTGCTATTATATCAGGATATTTACTTAGCACTAATTCAACAACTACAAAAATAGTTTTTGCAATTTGTAGTATATCTTTTAGTAGAATAGTTGAACATTTTTATGATAATGAACCTAAAAAAATTAACACAATGATCTCTAATTATTTGAATTTTCATGGATTTATAGTTAAAAAAGCTGAAATAGAGAATATAAAAGATAATTTAAAAAATATTTTAAATGAACTATCAGAGATAGAAGATCAAAGTGAAATGAAAATAGATGACATAAAAAAAGCATTAAATAATATAATCAATGAAAATAATTTCAAAAGAATAGATAATATAATGAATATACTAAATTATCAAGTAAAAAGACTAAAAAAAAGATTAGAAGAAAATAGTTTAGAAATAAAGACTGAAGAAGAAATCAAAAAAAATAATAGTTTGGAAATAGAGACCGAAGAAAAAATCAAAAAAATAATAGTTTAGAAATAGAGATTGATGAATTGCTACAAAAACAGATAGATGAACTAATAACATTGTATAATAAGTGCAAGAATTTATTAAAAAAAGAATCAACTAACAAATATTTGTTTAATAAAATTTTTGATTAAAAATTTTATTAAAAAATACAATTATATTTACAATTTTAGCATTTATCGCCGGTGGTGATACCACCACCTCTCTTATTTCTTTTATCAAATTTAGGATTAGGGTACAATTTTAGACCAAGTTTAGGGTTAGGTTTTTGAGGTCCTGAACATTTTTACTTAGTACCTCTGACATGTTTTAGCTAGTAGGTTTTTGAGATATAGTATCCCTGGTGATATCACCACCGGCGATAAATAACAATATTCTTATATTTATTCATAATAATTAAAACATATTTTAAAATTTTAAAGTCACTGTTAAAAAAAAATAATAATTTCTTTTGTATTTACTATGTTAAACTAAAATTTAAATTCAATTTTTAGAATATTTAAATCATTCAGATCCATTTAACAATATTTTAGCATAGAATTGATCAATTAACTTGGTAGTCTGGAAATTTTTTAAATTCAGCACCTGAACTTACTCAATTTGCAAAAGAATTTTAACTATACCTACATCATCTGCAGCAGCAAAACACAATTGGTCTGATTTTTTAGTTTTATTCATTCAAAAAAAAAAAGAAATAAACTTAAATCACCAAGAGTTTTTAAACTAGTTTTTATATTTAGTAATAGTAAATTAAAAAATTCTTATAATGCTAAAAAAGAATTTAATTAGTAAAATAAGCAAATTAGATAATTTAAATTGTTTTACTATTGGTAAAATTGATTTAAAAGATGAATTTGGGAAAATATCAGAACGTGCAAAGGTTCACCTGATGTGCCTATAATGCTAGGAAAGCATTGCAATGGCAATGCAAACATAGTCAACTTTAGTGTAAAGAAAGTTGATAAGCTAATTAATCTTTTGTATATTAAAAAATAGACAATATGGAAATAGTTGAGTGCGTTTCAAATGCTAAAGTGCCTATTGTTAAGTTTTGGGATCCTAGTTTGTATGTAAATTTGTTATGCATTTATTATATTGATGATTTGAGCTTAATTTTCAATTTTTAAATTGCAGAAAGTTAGCATGTGATGTTAACGTTAATAATACTACTAGAATATATAATACACAACTAATAAAGAGTTATATTGAAATTGATAAAAGAATTCGGCCTTTAGTAATGATAATAAGACATTGGGCACGAGTCAATAGAAACGCCCCAAATTTTTTCTAAGTAAATTTTTTTAAAACTTTGAACAAAAATAATATAATAATAACTTAATCAAATTTAATCAAAACTTTTTAAAAATAATTTTAATAACTTATAGAAATTATTTAAAAAAAAATTTACTAGATTTGATCAAATTTTTGTTGAGTTATATTTGTTTAAAATTTTAAAAAAATTTATTAAAAAAGATTTGGTGCATTTCTATTAACTCACCCCCATATATTTACCAGAGTTACAAAATTCTATTAATTATCATATAAAGCACCATATGATTTAACATTAATAATATGATTATCATTATCTCAATATTTTTCTACCTGGGTCTAATTTTAAATTCTCACCCTTTTTTCATTTGGAACACAAAATTCGCAGAACAAATTTCAAAAGCACGTATTGATATTTTAACTTTCAAAGATTTATTAGAAGAGATTA